TGAAATCTAAAATGTTACCTAAATTCGTTGGAAGGTACTTGCCCACCAGAATTTGCAAGGAGGTCGTCGGAGTCCTGAATGCTCGTCGGAGAATAGAAACGGTCACTTGGTTCCAAGAAGTTTGAAAGAACTCGAGAGATTTTCGCGAAGTAAAGGTTTCAAAATGAAGGGGATGGGCCTTTTATAAGCCCCTCAAACTCACCCTAACCGTTGGATCATCCATAACGCATCTGGACCATGCAAAACTAGGATGCAGGGATATCCGTTAAAACCAATGGTCATTTGAATTAACGGCCCTGATGAAGCGGTGCGTTACACGCGTAGCTTGAACACGTCGCCTTGAGAATCGAGAGCCGTCGCCATCATTATCATTTATGGCGAGGGAGGCGTGCCTTGGAAGCAAGCGAACGCCTCCTCACTTCGGCCTGGGCAGAATTTCATGTTGCTACAGCTCTTAATAGAGTTGCCAACCCTTATCACTTTGGCCTGGGCAGAATTTCGTGTTGCTACAGCTCTTTATAGAGTTACCAACCCTTATCGCTTCGGTCACAACGGCTCTGCGTTGCTACAGCTCTTTATAGAGTTGCCAACCCTTATCGCTTCGGTCACAACGGCTCTGCATTGCTACAGCTCTTTTTAGAGTTGCCGGCCTTTATCACTTCGGCTTGAGCAGAATCCCGTGTTTCTACAGCCCTCACCGCCAACGACTCATCCCCATATCTCCCACTTGAAATTAAAAGTCCTCGTACTATAATCCATACAAGGACTTGCGGGACTATTGTTACGGGCCTGTGTCAAACCCTCCACCTCGTCGCCACGTGTTAGTATAGGTGACCATGCCACGCGGCGTCCGAGGTGATTATACATGGGACGAACTGATTATACATGCCGGAGCGATTACTTAAAGGACGAACTGAATAGGCGTCAGCAAACGAATCGGACTCATCCACAAGTATGCAGTGGATGCAAAGGCCCGCACTCTGCTTCTATAACGTTACAACGCCTCACCTGCCTTACCTCGCCTCGCCATCAAAGATCTCTTGTAAAGATCTTTCCAAAATCAAATCTCTGACTGATGGGACGTGTTGCAGGTCCTCAAACGGTCAGATCAGCAGCCTATGTCAGAAACATTCAATACCAGTCGACCTATGGAGGGACAGATTGACACCTAGGATGGGACGAGCCTTGAGGATTTGGCAACACGTGTCTCCTCATCCAACGGCCCTCCCCTTTTCATTCTTAGTATAAATATCCCCTCCTTGTGTCAAAGAAAGGATTGGAATCCCATTTTCTCTCCTACATGTTGCGAAATCAAGTATTATCCTCTCCCCTATATTTGTCAATT